TGCAGTCCAATTTCTCTTTCTTTTTTTTTAAACTGTTAGTGCTTTTTTTTTATGCTGCCTAAGAAATCTTTGCCTACCTCAGGTCAAAAAGGTTTTTTTCATGTGTTTTCTTCTGGAATGGTTATAGTTTTAACTTTTGTGTTTAGGTCTCTGAACCTATTCAAGTTAATTTTTGTGTATGATGGAGATAAGGGTCAGGATTCATTTTTTTCTGGACAGATATTCAGTTGCTTTAGCACTGTTTATTAAAAAGACTCACTAAATTGCAGTGGCTTTTGTGTTGTAAATCAAGTGACTACATGTGTGGGTCTAATTCTAGACACGATATAGTCCGCTATTCTGTGTCTATCTTTAAGCTATTACTACCGTGTCTTTAATACTGTAGCTGTGTTGTAATCCTTAAAATCTATAGTGCGAGTCCTTTAACTTTGCTTCCCTTTAAGACTGCTGGCATTCTAGGGCCTTTGATTTCCATATAGATTTTACAATAAGTGTATCATTTCCACCCCCAAAAAAGTGGCTGTATTTTGGTTGGGATTGCATTGAATCTATAAATCAGTGTTGGGAAATTGGCATCTTAACATTGTTGAGTCTTCTAGTCCGAGCGCATGGGATATCTCTGTATATATTTAAGCGTTTAAAAAATGTCTCTCAGCAATGTTTTGTAGTTTTCAAGACATAAGTTTTGTACATTTTTGTTAAATTTATTCCCAAGTATTTAATATTTTTGGTGATTTCAAATGGTATTTATTTTTAAATTACATTTTCTGTATGCTAATATTTAGGCATGACAATAATTTTTGTTTATTGATATATATCCAGTGACCTTGCAGAAATTCACTTAGTAATTTCAGTTGCTTGTAGATTCTTCTGGATTTTCTGTGAACATAATCATGTCATCTGCAAATAAAGTTTTCCCTCGTTCTTACCTTTGTAGCTGTTTTGCCTTACCACAAAAGCTAGGACCTCCAGTACAGTTTGAAGAGAAGTGATGGTGGTAGGCATTCTTGTCTTGTTTTCAGTCCTGGGGGAGATGTTGAAAGTTTCGCTAGTGACTGTAGTGTTTACTATAGTTATGTTGATGTCTTTTATCAGCATGAGAAAGTTTTCTTCTATCCCTGGTTTTCTGAGTGTTTTTATTGTGAATGGGTATTGAATTTTATTAAATGCTTTGTCTGCATTTATTGAGATGATTATATAGTTTTTCTCGTTTATTTTGCTAATTTGGTGAATTACATTGTTTTTTCAAATAGCAAACCTACCTTGCATTCCTGGAATAAATCCCACTTGGTCATGGTGCATTATATTATTTATGTCTAGAATTTATTTGTTAATATTTCATTTAGGATTTTTATATCTGTATTTATGAGATGTTATTGGACTATAATTTTCTTTTCCTATAATGTGCTTATCAGATTTTGTTGTCAAGATTATGCTGGCTTTAATATGAGTTGGGAACTATTCCTCTTTTCCTATTTTCTATATGAGTTTGTGTAGCATTGATATTATTTCTTCCTTAAATATTTGTTAGAGTTCACCAGAAAAGCCATCTGTGCCTGGAGTTTTCTTTGTAGGAAGTTTTTTTATTACAGTTTGGTTTCTTTAACAAATAATACTACTCTCCAGGTTTTCTTCCTTTGTCAGTTTTGATGAGTGGACTTTTTCAAGGAATTTGTCCATTTTTATCTAAAATTTCAATTTTATTGGTATAAGGTATCCTCTATCTTTTAATGTCTGTAGAATTTGTAATGATGTCTCCTTTTCATTCTTTGTTTATGTAATTTGTATTTTCACTCATTTTTTTTCTTGTTCAGTCTTGGTAGGGATTTACTAGTTTTTTTCAAAGAACCAACTTTTGGCTTTTCTCATTTTCTCTTGTATGCTTATTTTCTATTTCACTAATATCTGGTATTATTTTCTTCCTTCTTTGGATGTAATTTGCTATTCATTTCCTAACCTTGTAAGTTGGAAGCTTAGAAGATTGACTTCAGATTTTTCTATTATGCTATAAATTGCTCTCTAGGGACTGTTTTAGCAAACTCCCATGCCATCATTCAACTCAGACTATTTTCTAATTGCCGTTGTTATTTGACCTATGGAGTTATTTAGAAGTGTGGTGGTTAATTTCTTAACATTTGGAGATTTTCTAGTTATTTTTCCATTATTGAGTTTCTTGTGAATTCATAGTGGTCAGAGAAGATACATTGAATTATTTCATTCCTTGGACGTTTGTTCAGACTTACTGTATGGCCCAGAACATGGTCTGTGCTGGTAAATGTGTGAATTATATTTGAAAAGAATGTGGAGTCTGCATTTGTCAGACATAATGTTTTTTATTTGTTAATTACATCAACTTGATTGAATTCATTCAGATCATCTGTATTTTTACTGATTTGTATTTATTTTGTTAGAGAGGTGTGTTTAGGTTTATGTGCACTGTTATTTAAACCAACCATCATTGTGAATTGGCTATCTCTTTATAGTTCTGTCAATTTTTGCCTTACACATTTTGAAGCTATGCTATTAAGAGAATATGATTTATGATTTTTATGGCTTCTAATTGACTATTTTGTCAAAATGAGATGTTCCTCTTTATCTCACATAATACTTTTTGCCTTAAAGTCTGTTTTGTCTGTTCGTAATGTTGCCGCATCAGCTTTTTTTTGCTTAGTGTTGCATAGTACATCTTTTCTTATCCTTTTATTTTCAACTTTCTGAGCTCTTAATATTTAAGCATTTTCTTTTAAACAGTATATAGTTGTATCTTTATTTTTAATCCAGTCTGACCATCTGTCTTTTAATTGGAGTGTATGTCCATTTCGTTTAATGTGATTACAGTTTACCATGTTACTCTTTGTTTTCTCTTTACCCATTTGTTCTCTTTTACAAAAATTATTCCTCCTTTCCTGCTCTTTTTTTGGTATTGACTATTTTTATTATTTTATCTCTGTTATTAGTTTTTGCATTTTATTTCTTAGTATCACTCTTTTAAGTCATTACCAAAGAAATTACAAAATTACACCCTTAACATATTGTAGTTACCATAAATTAGTACCTTTTTCATGTTCTGACCAATGCAAGAACTTTTAGTATTTTTGCATTATTTAATCCCCTTTTGTGCTATGTTTTGAGGTATTTTACTTCCATGTGTGTTATAAATCCCACAAGACATTGTTAATGTTGTTTTAAAACAGTCAATAGTCTTGTATTTACCCACATATTTACCTTTTTCTGGAGCTGTTGATTCTTGTTGACATTTTTATGCTTGCATCTAGGATCATTTTCTTTCAGGTGAAGAACTTTTCTTGTAGTATTACTTGTCTACTGGTGGGGAATTCCCTTAGCTTTTGTTTGCTTGAGAATGTGTTTTGATTTCATTTTGGAAGAATATTTTCATGGGAATAGAATTCTTGGCAGTTTTGTTTTCTTTCTGTACTTTAAAGATGTCGTTCTGTTGTCTTCTTGCTTCCATAGTTTTTGTTGAGAAGTCAGTGGGAGTTCTTCCTGTTGTTTCCTTAGAGCAATGATTCTTAACTGGGGGTGATTTTGCCTTCTCCTTTACCCCTGCGCCCAGGGGACATTTGGTAATATCTGGATATGTTTTGGTTGTCTCAACCTTGCGGGCTGGGGGATGCTACTGACATTCCTACAATGCACAGAACAGTCCCTCACAACAGAAAATTATTTGAATCAAGGTGTCAAAAGTGCCAGTGTTGAGAAACCATGCCTTGGAGGTAGTATGTCTTATTTTCCTCTGGTTGTTTACAAGATTTTTCTCTTTAATTTTTTTAGCAATTTGATTATGATATGCTTAGGTTTCATTTTCTTTGTTTTATCCTTTTGGGGATAGATTTTAATTCCCTCTTGAAATACGCTACCTTTTTATTCATTTGTCTATTTTTTTCATCTTTTTTCTTTAACATTCGTCATAGTTATTTTGAAATCCTTGTCTTCTAAGCTACTCTTTGGATCACCTCTGGATCTACTTCCATTGACTATTTTATCTCTTGATTAGTCACTAATTTCTTGCTTCTTTGTGTATCTAGTAATTTTTAAATGTGTGTTGAACATTGTGGATGAAATGTTAGGCTGTGATTTATTTTTCTTTGAAAGATGTTGAATTTTATTCTGACAGGCAGTTAAATTACTAGCTTTTTACTTTTATTCTGCTAAGGCCTGGTTTAGTTTTTTGTTAGGTTTGCTCTATTTCAGTTTTGTTTATATTTCTAGAGTGTGGTCCTTCTTTCTAAGATGTGGCCTTTGTGGCATTTCAGCTGAATGTTTAGGGTCTTCATCAAGGTCTCTCAGCTTTGGCTGGGCTTGAACTCCAACAACTTTCCAGCTCTGACCTTTGGAATCTCAGCTTCTCAGCATCTGCCTGCTACCAGGTATCCTGTGATTTTGTCTTATGCTTTTGCAGCTCTGGAGATGATCAGGAATTGATGAGAATTTCTAAGGAGACTTTTGGGGTTCCCTTTCTGTGGCTACCTCCTGTCCAGCACCCTGTCTTTCTAATCCTTTGCCCAGAACTTTGATCTCTGTTCCCTCTACCCAGTGAGATCACCGGTCCCTGTTTCCACTTTAGCTCAACACCCAACTGCCAGAAAAGGCTTCCAGGGAAATTCTTGGGGGAACGTTGGATCAGCTCCTATTTCTCTCTTCTGATGGTAGCCTGGTGTTGATTATAGCCCGTGCTTACAAACAGTTATTTTATATGTTTTGTCCGCATTTTAAAGTTATTTATAGTTGAAGAATAAGTTTCACACAGCTATTCTGTATAGTCAGAATCTGAAGTCCCTCTATTTTCTTTGATAGACAGATGAAGTGCTTTTTAAGTCGTATGTATTGCTTTGTATTTTATTCTAGAGGAAACACCGGCTTGTTTTTTGTTTTCCATGTTTCATAGAAACAAGTGTTAATTGGGAAAATAGCTTATGTCAGTTAACTTATTATACATAACTTGATATCTTAATTATCTGTTGTTTTTTTTGTGCTTCAAGGAATCATCTCTTGCAGTTTGCCTTGGAGTCACCACCCATATCTCCTGCTTCCTCCTCTTCAAAAAACCTTGCTGCCAAAGTGCACACTCCTGTAGCTTTCAGGCATTCTTTAAAGCAAGGAAGCAGGTTAATGGAGAATTTCTTGACCAGAGAAACTGGTGGTTCTACGTCGGAGTTGTTGATAAAAGAGAATGAAAGCAAATTCAGCCCTCAAAAAGAAGTGAGCACTTCTGCCAAGACCAAAGAGACACCTTCTGTAGAAAAGACAACTCTAGGCTCCTTGGATGCTAATGTTCCTGAGACACCCTCTACGTCGACTTTGAAACAAGTTACTAAAGGTAGGAAAGTACTTTAATGTGTGTATTTTCTTACATAATGGAAATCTTTTCATCCCACAGGACGAGAATAAATAGGCAGAATTTTTGAGGGGGAAGGAACGAGAAAGGGCAAACCAGATTTCACCTTATAACAATCTCAGAGATTAATGTAGGCAATGCTTCCAGATATGTTTGTTCTTTTTTCTCTCATCGAATATGAATTCAGGCTGATTGCTGCAAAAATGAAGCAATTTTAAAGAGTTCATACTTGGAGTGTTATAGTAGGTTTCATTTTCCACCTTTTTAATTCCCCCCTCATCCTTCCTATCAATTCCAGTTTAATCTTAAAGAGCTCTTTTATTCTTATTATCTACTACTACTTGAACACTTCCAGGTTATTCTGCCTGGCATTGAAAGCCTTTGATGATTTGACCCCTGTCTTAGCTGTCTGGCCTTATTTCTCACCTCTGCCTCTCAAAAATCCTTACTTTCTAGCCAATCGCATCTCCCCACTATTCCTTGAATACCTCCAAGGATTGGCAGACTTCCGCCTTTAGGCCAGGTTTGGCTTGCCACCTATTTTTGTAAAAGGTTCACTGGGACACAGCCACATCCATCTGTGTGGGTAAAGCCAACAAGTTTACATATTGTTTATGACTGCTTTCACCCTATGGCGCAGAGTGGAGTAGTTGCAACAGAGACCGTCTGACCTGCAGAGTTTATCATCTTTGCTGGCCCTTTACAAACCGTTTGCCGACCCTGTTCTACCTTTCTGGACTGTCTAGATCCTAACCTTTCTTTGGTTATCTTAGACAATATTGATATCTCACATCAGTACCATGTCACAGTAGTTGTTTTCTGGACTATTTTGTGCACAATTTGCTTGTTAATGAATATGTCACCTTGTTTAGCCTTTTATTTGTCTTTTTTTGCCAGTCAAGTTCAGAGCACCTTTTAGGCAGAAACTGTTTTGGAATCTTTAGTGCACACATGCCACACACAGTCCTGGGCCATTAGGGTTTATTAAACTTAGATAGGTTGAAATTGGTTTCTTAGTACTCAGGTGATTAAATTTCATAAGGATGTGTAAATTTTACTTGCATTTTCCAGCATATCTTATCCTTGGTCAGTCTTTTTGTCAATTGACAGTTCTTAGTGTAGTGTTTTTAGTTTGATAGTTAATTTTTTTCCCTTAGCAGAACCTTTTTTTTCAAATGAAATCTTCCAACGAACCATGTATTGGAAAAAGTCAGTTCTTCCCCTCCTGTGCAGGGAAAAATCCAGTTCTTCCCTTTCTTGTCTCCTTCCCAGTGAGTCTCCTTCACTGTTCACACAGAACCCTCACACTTCTGATGCTTCTGGTGACCAGAAGTGTGGAGGTTTTCCCCCACACCAAGCAATTCTCTGCAACACCAGCTGGGTGTCCTATAATTTAACTCAATTCTGACACTGTCTACCTGGAGATAGCATCAGATACCACAAGTTAAGGGCTCAGTCCTACAAGACTGCTGCATCTGCACACACACACACTCTCTCTCTCTCTCTCTCTCTCTCTCTCACCAACAGGCTATGCTCTTATCACTTAGGAAATTACAAAGACTTTAGGAGCTCTGTCCCAGGAACCAGGGGTAGAGACCAATATATATTTTCTATTATCTCACAAACCATAATATGTAAATAAATAAGATTGGCCCTACTCCACTAAGGTAGAGATGGAGGGCCTGAGGGTTGTCCTGTGCCAGCTGACATCGCGCTTCGTCCCTGCCTGTTATCCAGGGTGTTCCCTAGGCCCTGAGATGCCGCCACAGATTCCTGCAGCTCTGTGAGACAGTTTGAGCATGATTGCCTTCTCTAATTTTAACACCACATTTGTAATTACAAATGAGAGCTAAATTAATGAATTTGTAACCGTTGATAAATTGAGCAGTAGTTGGCCCAAACCAACAAATGATTTAATCTAGCTTCCCCTACCCCCTTGCTGCCCCTGGCCAGGTGTGCCTCACTTAGGGGGTTAGGAGTGCTTGGTGCTAAACCTGGGTGGCTTCTAAGACTTGCGGACACTTAAGATTAGTTTTATAGTTTGGTCACAGCTTGGTAGAAAAGACTTAACCAAAGAATTTTCTAAAAAATGAAGTTCCAAACTTTTTAACAATCTCTTCCTTCAGGGGCAGGGTTCTAATTGTGTGGCTTGTTACAATTTAACCATTACCCAGTAACCAGGCTGTCCACTCCTGTTGCCCTGAGATGTCATTCTTTTTCTATTCTGCTTTTCTAAGTGTGTGTTAAGGTTGGAATTCTATTTTTTATCTTAATTGCTGAAAGATGCCAGGTTATATTATTTTTGCCCTTTCTACAAATAATAAAGTCTCTCTTTCTCTTTTAAAAAAATACAGTGGATTGTCCTGTTTGTGGCGTTAGCATTCCAGAAAATCACATTAATAAGCACCTAGACAGCTGTTTATCACGTGAAGAAAAGAAAGAAAGCCTCAGAAGGTAAGAAAGTTTGGCATAACCATCGAGCCACTTTAGCCAGGTGCCTCTGTGCTTTATCGTTAGCCTACTCTTCCCTTCCTTCTCCTGGTTCTTTCCTCAACTCCACTGTGCCAAATATAATTAACTATATTATGTGCTAACGAGAAATTAGTGACTTAGAATTCTATTCTTTTCTTATTTTCTTCTCTTAGAATTTTAGAACTACCATAAAGCCTCGTGGCCAAAGAAAGCAAGGTTAGACTCTGAGTATAGAACATATAAAATCTTTCTTTGGTTCTTAGGATGCTCAGAAGTTTTAAAATTTTAAGTCAAGCTTTTTTTTTAAAAAAACTTTTTCCCGATTAGGCAGTTATATACACATGATGTAAAAAGCTACAAAAGTGTATTATGAAATGTGAAGTCCTCCACCCCCCACCCACAACCACCCACGTGACAGAACTAATAAGTTGTCTCAAAATTTGCGCCCAGGATTAAGCTGCTCTGGACCTCCCTTATACTTCAAAGTCACAGTAATTTGTTAAACTAGGCCACTATTACTGTACATATAAGTTGGTTAGGAATGAAATTTTAGTCAAAGTTAAATTGTGCGGTGTTAAGTAGTCAGTGGTTAATAAAGACAATAAGGGAGCAGAAGCTGCAAATTGGATGAATCTGATGATGAGGGAAGAGGGAGGAGAGGGTAGTTTGGGGAAGGGGTAAGCAGCAAGATCAAGGAAGGTTTCATTTTTTAAAATAGAAATTGTTTAAGCCTTCGGTCTCTTTCCTTTCACTCTGTCTGGGGAGAGAGCAGATGATATATGGAACAAGGTTGGGAGCTGAAGGGATCAAGAGTCCAGTGATGAAGTTATCCTTGACATGCAGAAAGAATCCTTTTCTGAAACAGGAGGGAAGGGGAGAGAATAGGTGGTAATTCAGAGAGACCTGGAAAAGGAGAAAAGGGAAACAAGAAATTAATGGTATCCAGGAGGTGGGGATCAATAGAATGATTAGCTCTTATATTTGGTCTTTTTTTTTTTAATTGCAGTTTTATTGAAATACGGCATTATGTTAGTTTCAGTTGTACAACATAATGATTTGATATTTGTAAACATTATGAAATGATCATCACAGTAAGTCCAGTTACCATCTGTCTCCCTATAAAATTGTGCAATATTATTGACTATATTTCTTGCGCTGTATATTACATTCCCATGGCTTATTTATTTTATATCTGAAAGTTTGTACCTTTTAATTCCCTTCATCTATTTCACCCAGCCCACCATCCCCCGCCCCTCTGGCAAACAACAGTTTGTTTTCTGTATCCATGAGTCTGTTTTGTTTTGTTTGTTCATTTGTTTTGTTTTTTAGATTCCACATGTAAGTGAAATCATACGGTATTTGTCTGTCTCTGTCTGACTTATTTCACTTAGCGTAATACCATCTAGGTCCATCCATGTTGTCACAAATAGCAACATTTCATTCTTTTTTATGGCTGAGTAATATTCCATTACACACACACACACACACACACACACACACACACACACACACACACACACACACACACAGAGATATACACACACCACATCTTATCCATTCATCTGTTGATGGGCACTTAGGTTGCTCCTATATCTTGGCTATTGTAAATAATGCTGCGATGATCATAGGAGTACATATATCTTTTCAAACTAATGTTTTTGTTTTCTTCAGGTAAATAACCAGAAGTGGAATGGCTGGATCGTATGGTCATTCTATTGTTAATTTTTTGAGGAACCTTGGTACTGTTGCCCTCACCAATTTTCATTCCCACCAGCAATGCATGAGGGTTCCTTTTTCTCCACATCCTTGCCAACACTTGTTATTTTTTGTCTTTTTGATGATAGCCATTCTGACAGGTGGGAGGTGATATCTCATTGGGGTTTTGATTTGCATTTCGCTGATGATTAGTGATGTTGGGCACCTTTTCATATGCCTGGTGACCATCTGTATGTCTTCTTTGGAAAAATGTCTATTGAGGTCTTCTGCCTATTTTTTTCATTGGATTGTTTTTTGGATATTAAGTTATATGAGTTCTTTATATATTTTGGATATTAACCCCTTATCAGATATATTATTTGCAAATATCTCCTCCCATTCAGTAGGTTGCCTTTTGTTTTGCTGATGGTTTTCTTCTCTGTACAAAAGCTTTGTAGTTTGATATAGTCCTGTTTGTTTATTTTTGCTTTTGTTGCCTTTACCTGAGGAGACATATCTGAAAAAAATATTGCTAATACTGATGTCAAAACTGCTTGTGTTTTTTGCTAGGTGTTTTGTGTTTTCAGGTCTTACAGTCAATTCTTTAATCCATTTTGAGTTTACTTTTCTGTGTGGTGTAAGATAGTGGTCCAGTTTCATTCTTTTGTGTATAGCTGTCTGGTTTTCCTAGCACCATTTATTGAAGAGACTATCTTTTTCCCATTGTATATCTTGCCCCCTATGTTGAAGATTAATTGACCATATATGTGTGGCTTTATTTCTGAGCTCTCTATTCTACTCCATTGATCTGTATTTTTGTCAGTACCATACTGTTTTGATTACTATAGCTTTGTAGTATAGTTTAAAATCAGGGAGTATGATACCTCCAGCCTTAATCTTCTTTCTCAAGATTGCTTTGGCTATTCATAGTCTCTTGTGGTTTCATTTAAATTTTAGGATTATTTGTTCTGTGAAAAAGACCATATTGGCATTTTAATAGGCATTTCATTGCAACTATAGATTGCTTTGGGTAGTATGGACATTTTACCAATATTAATTCTTCCAATCCATGAGCATGGTATATCTTTCCATTTTTTTGTGTCATCTTCAGTTTATTTCTTCAGCATCTTATAGTTTTCAGAGTATAGGCTTTTCACCTCCTTGGTTAAGTTTATTCCTAGGTATTTTATTCTTTTTAGTGCAGTTATAAATGGGATTGTTCTCTTAATTTCTCTTTCTGATATTTTCTTCTTTGTGTATAGAAAGGCAACAGATTTCTGTATATTAATTTTGTATCCTGTAACTTTACTGAATTCATTTACTAGTTCTAGTTATTTTTTTGGTGGAGTCTTAAGGTTTTCTGTGTAGTGCCATATCATCTGCAAATAGTGAGTTTTACTTCTTCCTTTCAAGTTTGGATGCCTTTTATTTCTTTTTCTTGCCTAAATGCTGTGGCTAGGACTACCAATACTATTTTGAATAAAAGTCTCGAGAGTGAGCATCCTTGTTGTGTTCCTGATCTTAAACCAAAGAGTTTCAGCTTTTCACCGTTGAGTATGTGAGATGTGGATTTGTCATATATGGACTTTATTATGTTGAAGTATGTTCCCTCTATAGACACTTTGTTGAGATTTATTTAATCATAAATGTATGTTGAATTTTGCCACATGCTTTCTGTTCTCTTTTGAGATGATCATATGATTTTTATCTTTCGTTTTGTTAATATGGTGTATCATGTTGATTGATTTACAGTTGTTGAACCGTCCTCACATCCCTGGAAAAAATCTCACTTGATCATGGTGTATGATCCTTTTAATGTATTGCTGAATTCAATTTGTTATTATTTTGTTGAGGATTTCTGTGTCTTAGGTTCATTAGGGGTATTGGCTTATAATTTTCTTTTTTTTTTTTTTCTGTCTTTTTCTGGTTTTGGTATCAAGGTAATGCTGGCCTCGTAAAATGAATTTGGAAGTATTCCTTGCTCTTCAGTTTTTGAAATAATTTGAGAAGAATAAGTATTAACTCTTCATTAAATGTTTGGTAGAATTCAGTTGTGAAGCTGTCTGGTCCTGGACTTTAGTTTGTTGGGAGTGTTTTGATTATTGATTCAATTTCATTACTACTAATTGATTTGTTCAGATTTTTTTTCTTCCTGATTAAGTCTTGGAAGATTGTATGTTTCTAAGAATTTATCCATTTCTTCTAGGCTATCCAATTTGTTGGTAGAATTGTTCATAGTAGACTGTCATAATCTTTTGCATCTCTGTGGTATCAGTTGTAACTTCTCTTTCATTTCGTGTTTTATTCCATTTGGGCCCTCTCTCTTTTTTCTTCGTCAATCTGGCTAAGGGTTTATCAATTTTATCTTTTCAAAAAACCAGCTCTTAGTTTCATTGATCTTTTCTATTGTTCTTTTAGTCTCTTTGATTTATTTCTGCTCTGATCTTTATTATTTCCTTCTTTATACTAACTTTGGGCTTCGTTTGTTCTTCTTTTTCTAGTTCCTTTAGGTGTAATGTTAGATTGTTTATTTGAATTTTTGCTTGTTGCTTGAGATAGACTTGTATTGCTATGAACTTCCCTCTTAGAACTACTTTTGCTGCATTCCATAGATTTTGGACTGTTGTGTTGCCACTTCATTTGTTTCAAAGTATTTTTTAATTTCTTCTTTGATTTCTTCATTGAACCATTGGTTGTTTAGTAGCATGTTGTTTAGTCTCCATGTGTTTTTGCTTTTTCAGTTTTCTTCTTGTGAGTGATTTCTAGTTTCATACCATTGGTCGGAAAAAATGCTTGATATGATTTCAGTCTTCTTAAATTTATTTAGACTTGTGTTGTGGCCTAATGTGATTCGTCCTGGACAATGTCCCATGTGCACTTGAAAAGAATGTGTTGTCTCCTCTTTTTAGTTGTAATGTTCTGTAGATATCTATTAAGTTCATCTGTTTAATGTGTTATTTAAGACTGTTGTTTCCTTGTTGATTTTCTGTCTGGATGATCTATCCATTGATCTAAGTGGAGTATTGAAGTCTCCTATGGTTATTGTATTAATGTCAATTTCTCCCTTTATGTCTGTTTATATTTGCTTTATGTATTTAGGTGCTCATATGTTGAGTCCATAGATATTGACACATGTTATATCTTGTTGGATTAACTCCTGTATTATTATATAATGCTCTTGTTTGTCTCTTGTTACAATCTTTGTTTTAAAGTCTGTTTTGTCTTATATAAGTCTTGCTATTCCAGCTTTCTTTTAATTTCCATTTTCATGGAATATCTTTTTACCA